CACTTGATGACCAGTAGACTCCAGCGGTGACGCGGATGCAGGGTCGTACTTGTGTCAGTCTCCGCCGCACCCACGAGGCATCCTGTGGCGAAGCGCGCGCCGCCTCCTCCAGCCGAACCGCCCGCGCCGCCGCCTCGGAGCTGCGGCACCTGGACCAGGCTTCGTGGCCCGCTGGGCGTCGCGACCGCGTGGCCTAACGGATAAGGCGTCTGACTTAGGATCACAAGATTACGGGTTCGAGTCCCTTCGTCGGCAGGCTCCTTTTGAGCGAGTCCCTTAGCGGAACGCAGCAATCCGCCGCCCAGCTCTGTTTGCGGTTCTTTCTTCGTGTCCGTCCCCTACCTCCGGTCGCGCGCTTCGCCTTTCCGCGAGCCCCCCCTCCCCGCGGTACGGCGCGCCGCCTGGAGCTCTCGCTCCTCGCGTAGCCCCGCGGGCTCCCCAGGACCTGGGCCACGGTTGGCGCAGTGCGTGGGCGCGTGCAGCTGGACGCGCTATCACGCACCACGTGAAACATACGTCTGATCGCGCCCCAGTGGCCTAATGGATAAGGCACTGGCCTCCTAAGCCAGGGATTGTGGGTTCGAGTCCCACCTGGGGTGGTGACGGAGTTTCTTCCGAGTTTTTGCCACCGGGAACCCGCGACCTCGGCCTGCTTATCGCAGGCTGCGGCCCCCTCACCCGCTGTCCTTCAGGGCCCTCCGCAGTCCGCGTGTCCGCACGTCGTTCGTCCTTGGCTGCCCGGTACCGCCCCGTCAGCCGCAGCTGCGGTGTCCTGGAAATCCTCTGTGCCCGCGACCTTCCGGACAAGTCCTGTCCCAGCCTCGAGTGGAAGCTGCTCGTGCCCCTGACTCGCGAGACGCGCGGGTCGCGGCTGTCGGTGCTGGCGCGGCACTCCCTAGGGTCTCCGGCGCAGACGGGGCACAGACCCTGCTCGACCCCGGGCTGCAGCAGGGATCAGGGTCGCTTCCAGAGTCCCTGAGAGAGGGGAAAAGAATAATTCAAAAACGACACGCTCTTACCCCAGGTGGGACTCGAACCCACAATCCCTGGCTTAGGAGGCCAGTGCCTTATCCATTAGGCCACTGGGGCCTGCGGCACGTGGTTTCCGCATCTCCTCCCCTAATAGGCGGCCGCCCCCGGGTCTCCCCGGGAAGGTCTCGGAGGCGCCGCGGCGCGGAGTCTGGGGGCCACTCGGGGATGTGGAGACTGAGGTGGGAGGCACTTCCTTCTTGTCCACCTCTAGAGACCTGATAGAAAATCCAAGAATTTTAGGAGAACGTGGTGTGGGAAGTGGAGGAGCACAGACCGGTATTAGGCGTGAACACTGAAACACACGCTGACAATCTTCCCCGGCACGAGAGCGCAACCAGGAGGGACAAATCCTTCCAGTCCTGACAATAGAGATATTAATATATTCCATCACAGGTATAGAATACATAGAAAAGTCAGCCAAATAGATACTTCAGCCTAATATTTCTCTCCTTTAAAACTGTTAAACAAAAGAACAAACATTTTAAAATGTTACATTTAAAATCCGTTATTAAAGTCCACGCGCATCTGAAACGTGTGACAGCAGTTCAGCCAAGGGCAGCGTTTGTCCCCCGCTGTGTCTGCTGTGCGATCTGCCCATCCGCCCCCAGCATCATCGCGGGGCAAGGGGACTCAAGAGACATTCTTTGTTTCTCTCTACAAAATGTAGAGTCAGCAAAAACCTGTCTCCTTCCTCCCTTAATGTCTGCAAGAAGGAAGAGTTTAACCCACCTGGCTCCAGCCTACTGCCTTGAGGATGCTCTTTCCAGTTGCTTCATTTGTCTTTCTGGGCTGGGCGCGGTGGCTCACACCTGTAATCCCAGCACTTTGGGAGGCAAGGGGGGAGGGTCACTTGAGGCCAAGAGTTGGAGACCAGCCCAGGCAACATAGCCAGACCCCGTGTCTACAAAAAAAAAATTTTTTTTTAATTAGCCGTGCGTGGTGGCTTGCACCTGTAGTCCCAGCTACTGGGGAGGCTGAGGCAGGAGGATCGCTTCAGCCCAGGAGTCTGAAGTTGCAGTGAGCTATGATGACGCCACTGCACTCTAGCTGGGGCAACAGGAGACCCTGTCTCAACAAACAAACAAACAAGCATTGTCTGTTGTGTGTACCATGCATGCAGTAAAGGGTACAGACCTTAAGGCTGCAGCCCGAGTGGTGTTTACATGTGTGTGTACTCATATGACAGCCACTTAGGTCAAGACGCAGAACCTTTCCAGCACCCAGGAAGGCTGCTGTGCCTCCTGCCGGTCAATGGCCACCTCCCCCAGGTAGATATTTGCCTGACTCATCACCACAAAGTAGTTTTGCCTGGTTTTGAACGTCATACAAGGGGCATCTTTCTCTTTTGTAAAGTCTGGCTTCTTTCACTCACCCCTGTGAGAGTCACCTGTATTCATTCTTTTGCCCTTAGCCTTTTTTAAGGCATGGACTCTACTCTCTGTCCCCAGCCTTTTTTGTTTCTCCTTACCTCTCCTTCCCCTCCAGGTCCCTTCACACGCCACCAATGTCTTCAGAGGGCCTGTTGGGCCCAGCACCCTGCACTCGCTCCAGGGTCATCTGCAGGGGTGCCTTCTCTGCTTTACTGCTGCTGCCATCTAACCAAGCAAGCCCCTGGCCCTGCTGTGCCTCACTCAACTGCTCTTGTCATTCCCAAGAGTCCACTTGTCTCCCTGGGTCCTGGATCTCCCAGCTCCCACCTCACTCCCGCTCTGCGGCTCATACCCTGCCCTGAGCATCACCACCGGGCACTCCTCCTCGCGGGCACGCCACACTCACTTAGCAGTCCTCCAAACCCAACCCCCCTTCGTGACTTTCCTGTGTCAACACATAGCATCACCCTATGTCACGCCCCCGCTCCCAGGCCACCCAGGCTGATTTTGTCCCCATAATCCTCCAGCGTCCTGTATTTCCTCCCCATCCCTGTTGCCACTGCCGTAGTTCCAAGACTGGTACCTGACTGGTCACATGGGTCAGTTGACAACCACACCTGCTTCTCATCCTATCGTGGCAGATTAGTACCCCCGACAGCCCCTGTGGGGGAAAGTCTAAACATCTTGGCTGTCACATTTAAGTCCTTTCTGGATCTGGCTCCCAATGTGGCAGACCCATCTCTCAGCTCCTCGCCCCCTGGGCTCCAAACTGTAAGTCACAGCCAGCATTCCCGGAGTGTTGCTCAGTGCCATTAAGCACTTGTTTTCATTTAAATCCCACAATAACCCTACGAAGTCGGCACTAATAACATCATCCCCAGTTTATAGATGGGAAACCAAGGTCAAGTAGTTTGTTCAAGGTCCCGCAGCTGGGGGTGGTGGAGGGGCGGGAGTTGAGCGGGGCAGTCTGGCGCCAGAGCCCATCCTCTGAATCCCCAGTTCCCTGTCCCAGCCGCAGGCAGGCCTTGGCGTTGCCTGCATTTTCCTTGCCTTGTGCTCGGCCACCACTGGAGCCTCCAGGTGACATGCGCTTACCCTGCTCCCCTGGCCAGCTCCTCCCCTCCTTCGGGCCCATCTCGAGCACTTCAAGTACATCTTCTCTGACCCTCCTGCTGCAACTAGTTGCTCCTCTGCTTCCTGCAATCTATTGAGGCTTTTCTTGTCATTTACCATGCTTTAAGTCATATTATTGTAATCCATTTTTTTTTTGAGACAGAGTCTCGCTCTGTTGCCCGGACTAGAGTGCCGTGGCGTCAGCCTAGCTCACAGCAACCTCAAACTCCTGGGCTCAAGCGATCCTCCTGCCTCAGCCTCCTGAATAGCTGGGACTACAGGCATGCGCCACCATGCCCAGCTAATTTTTTTTTCTGTATATTTTTAGTTGTCCAGCTAATTTCTTTCTATTTTTAGTAGAGACGGGGTCTTGCTCTTGCTCAGGCTGGTCTTGAACTCCTGATCTCGAGTGATCCTCCCGCCTCAGCCTCCCAGAGTGCTAGGATTACAGGCGTGAGCCACCGCGCCTGGCCTGTAATCCATTTTTCTTCTCAGCTGTTATCACCACCTGATGGCATGTCAATTCTCTGGAAGAAAGGACTTTGTTTTGTTCACTGCTGACTCCTCACCACCTCACCCAGTGTTTGCTGAATGACTGAATGAACTAAGGAATGTCCACTTCCTGCTTATGAGCCTCAGCCTCCTCCTAGGCCCTGAGTCCACTGAGGACAGGGACCATCTTACGTATCTTTCGTATTTTGTAAAAGTCATTTATAAATGACTTCTTCCCCTTGTTTAGAGCAGGGAACGATAAGTCCCTGCTCACATAAAGTGCATATACTGCTACAGTTCATTCTCTGGAATTTAGAGCATCCCAATGCAGTATTTGTCAAACAAGAGAACTAGACCAAAAAAATAGAGAACAGTGTGAGAAATTCACTCCATGCCACGGCAATCTACTGCTGCTCTGCTAGCCTGCATGTTCTTCCCACACCCAAGGGATGGCAAAAATCTTCCAGCTTACTCTTCCTGCCTCTAAAACCCCACTGCCCAATACAGCACCTAACACATAGTACTCCCTCCCGCTCAAGATCCTCAGCGGCTTTCTGTTACCCACGTTTCTTAAACTCCTTAACTTGAATTCGAGGCTGTCTGCATCAAGCCTCTGTTTCTGTCCAGGCTTCCCTCGCAGTCCCCTGCACAAACCCACCATTCAGTACTGCTGGCTTCCTCGGCCCCTCAGCACCAGCCTCTTTTCCGTCTCCTGTATTCATATTGTTCCCTTCAAATGGCATGTCCTCGTCCCCTCTCTACTGATTAAAATCCTATGCCGTTTCCATGGCTCAGCTCAAATGCTCACTCCTCCTTCCTGGCTGTGTGTTCTCTGAGGGCAGACACCAGAACCCCTTCCTGTTTCCCCCGAGCTGTGACACATAGTCAGTGCCGGGACAATGACCGTGAGACACTGCAACTGAGAGAGAAGGTAGGAATTCCGTTCGGAAGCATTCTGAATGAATAGGGAAGCCCAAGAGCCCAGAATTTTATTGTAACCAATACAGCAGGTAGATAATTCAGGTTTGAAAATGTGGTAATTGCCTATAAAGACCTTTGCAACTAGTGCCTGAAACTCTCACTCCAAATGAACATTCTTGTGATGGCGCCAATGTCACAGACGAGCACTAACAGCAGGAACAAAGACACCTCTGTACGGTGTTAAAGGCATCTCCGCCGCAACTGCCTGGGCGCCCTGAAGCCTGGTCTTTGCCAGCTGCGGGTAATTTCAGTCCACGTCTACTCTCCTGCTCGTCTTTATGGTAGAATGAATTCTCTTCTGTCTCAGCCTTTCCCGATTCATGTTTTCTATCCTGAAAACAAAAAGGCTACAATTAGCCCAGATGCCCTATCAGTGCTTTTCAAAGTGGTGGGAGGCGCTGGGAGCTCTGCGGGAAGCAGAGCAGCCACCAGCAGGTGCCAGCTCACAACCCGCACCGCAGGTCCCGGTCGTCTCCTCCTCCTGGGGCATCTCACCTGCCTACTGGCAGGTCTTGGCCTTTACCGGCCTCCTTCCTTACCTGTGCAGACTCTCGCCTACACAAATCAGTTTATATAGCAGCTCAGGGCATTTTCTGGTACCTGATTCTCTGAAGTTTAGCATCTTCTTTGGATGGCTCCTTGGGTGTCTGGCTGGCCTCGGCGATTATGTCTCGGATTTTCTGTAGGCAGTCTGCCAGATTGCGGAACTGATAGCGGCTGCTTTCAGAGGTGAGTATCAATTCTCCTGCCCGGTTGATCTTATTTTTATGCTGCAGAGAACAAAGGAAGAACCCTAGTCCTACAGGGAAATGTTTAAAAGTCACTGAGGGATTTCTAGGGAAAGAAAGAGATGGTGGTGGTTACCGAGATGGCGATCCTCTGCCGCACGGGCCCTGCGATCCAGTCCGCGGTCGCCAAATGGAACCTGACTTCAGCCTTGGAATTCACTGTGGATGAAGGACAGAAGGGAGCACTGGTCACCTGGACTCTCAGGAAGTCTCAGCACCAGGTGACCAGTGACCACCCTGAAACAAAGAGAGGCCAGACACCCAACCATGTGCCTTCTAGCCTACGTCAAAGTTGGCCATGGAACAAGCCTGCAAAGATACTGAGGCGCTTTTGGACAAAAATAGACTTCTAGTAACCACGTGTCCAGTGCTTCTCTTACAGTTTTACTGGGTGCTGAAAAGAATGGGGGGAACAAGTTCCACCAGGATGAAGGAAACCTATTCTTGGAGCTGGCTGCCAACTCACACTGTGATTTCTCTTTGTTAAGACCCATAGCCAATCCTAGTCCTAGCAACCCACAGCTGAGCATCTGAGAATCAGACCACATTCAAAAGAATAAAGAGGATTATTATAAGCTGGCAGTATTTAAGCTTCTGCTGAAAAATCCCTTTATTCTATATGAACATAAACACAGACCTCCTCAGGCCCATCCCCCGGCTGAGTCTTAAAGCAAAAGCAATGAGGCGCCTGTACCTTTGTTAACGTTCTGCCCCCCAGGACCACTACTACGGCAGTAAGATATCGTCAAGCGATCTGTAAAACAGAAGAATGTGCACACAAAAAACTGATCATCCCATGGCAAAATGTGCACACTGCTAATGTCCTATCACCATAACTATCCCTATTACACATCTCTCTTTTGGTGACTTTTTTTTTTTCAGATAGGGTCTCACTCTGTTGCCCAGGATGGAGTGCAGTGGTGTGATCATAGGTCACCGCAGCTTTGAACTCCTGGGCTCGAGTGATCCTCCCGCCTCAGCCTCCCCAGCAGCTGGGGCTATAGGTGTGCACAACTGTGCCCAGCTATTTTTTTTTTTTTAATTTTTGTAGAGATGGGGGTCTCAATATGTTGCCTGAGGTGGTCTTGAACTCCTGGGCTCAAGCGATCCCACTACCTTGGCCTCCCAAGTGCTGGGATTTATAGGCATGAGCCCCTGTGCCAGGCTTTTCAATGCCTTTTATTAATATGTACAGTCGTCCCTCTGTATCCATGGGGGATTGGTTCTAGAACCTGTAGGGATCCTAAAATCCACAGTCCCTGGTATAAAATGGCGTAGTATTTACATATAACCTATGCACATCCTCCCACATATTTTAAATCATCTCTACTTATAATACCTAATACAATGTAAACGCTATGTAAATAGTTGTTATACTACATTGTTTAGGCAATAATGACAAGAAAAAAGTCTGTACCTGATCAGTACAGATGCAACCATCCCTTTTTTTTTCTCAAATATTTTCAGTCCACAGTTGGGTGAATCCGCGGACATGGAACCCGTGGACACAGAGAGCCGACTGTATGAACTACATGTACATAAATGTCACATTCACATCAGTAAAGCTGGATTTTACTCACAGATGTCAAAACTAAAATCAAGGGCAAGTGACTTTCCCAAGGTCACACAGATAGTAAAGGAAGTAAAATTATGATGTGGTTGTCATCTGCTTTCGGTTTAATACATCCCACCAGACCTCCTGCCCTTGCTTTTTGCTGTTCATTGTGTGTTTTAAAGCAGGGACTCTTTCAAAAGCTCAAACTAAGGGGCACACTTAGTTTAATTCCAGAAGTGGTGGATGTGGAATCCCAGTGGACTGTAAGCTCCAAGAGAGCAGGACCGTGTCGAATTCACTGTGCATTCCTGGGGCCAAGCTCATGGTTAGTGGTACATCTGTTGCACGAACGAGTACTTGAGCTGGAGTTGGGAGCCCTGGCTTAGAACACTGGCTCAGCCATGACGTGACTACATGGTCTAGACAAAGTCCCACTGCCTCTCAGTCTCAGTGTGTTTTTAGTCTGTAAAATGAGGTCTCCTCCTTCGCTTTTTGTAATTAATGACAAGCAGCCTTGTATTGTCTGAGGAAAGTAGGGAAGGGACAGTAGTCAAAAAATTTCAGAAGACTAGATGGTGAAGCACAAGAGGTCTGTGGGGCAAAGAACTGTGGTGGCACCACGGTGGCAGAAAGCAGTGGTGACCCATCTCGGACTGCTGCTGAGAGGCTTTCCTCCTCTGGAAAAGACAAATTAAATCCTTTTTCTGACTTAGGTAACAAATGCGCACGGCACTGTAGGGGAATGGTTCTACCACGGTGCCCTGGCAACCTTGCCTGTAGCCACACAGGCCACGTGCGCAAGGCTGGAACTGCGACTGACCTAAGTCTTCACAGGAACAGACGCCTCGTGACGGATGTGAGCGTGGGAGCCTGGCAAGGGGCTACCACAAGGCCACTGCCCACTCGCCTGCCCGTCTCCCCGGGAGGCTGGCATGAGACACTTCTCCTTGTATCTCTTCACCTCGAGTTCTGAAGAGACAAGCGGCTTTCTGCCTCCTCCCCAACACAACTACAAGCTATAAAACTGCAGGGCTTCCTGTCCCTTGTGTTGCAGTCATCTGGTCTCTTTCAGTGTCACCCTGAGCAAGGAGGGGGAGCCAGCACCTTTGGCTACTCTTCCTCTCGCTGTCTGTGGAAGTCATACACTCTCTGAATGTAAAAAGGGCTCATTGTTTCTTTAAAGGCCACAACTATTAGGCGTTGCCTATGCTTGACAGGTACAAAATTTTAAAGTTATGCAAATGGTTTACACAGAGAAATCTCCACGCCTGTGCCCTAGCCACCAGGTTTGTCTTTTGTCTCCACCTGCCAAGGCAGTCACTGTATCCAGGTTTTTGTATTTCCCTTCAGATATATACGGATTTATATACACATACATACACAGATTATAGATAGAGAGGTAGATGTTTATTTCAGAGATATAGGTAAGTAAAACACAATGGTAGCTTACATACTCTCCTGCACCTTCCTTTTTTCCCGTAAAAATCAATTCATCTACTGTAAAGATTGCTCATCTCACGAGAACATCGAGAGCTCTCCATTCGTGTGGCACACGACACAGAACTCCACGAGTGGCTACACCATCATTTATTTGCTATTCTAAACAATGCTGCAAAGACTCCACTTTTGCACACCCAGAGATAATCTCTTTAATTGGGCTGGAGCGATCTGGAAGGAATGTATGAGGGGTGACAGAAAAGATTGATTAAGAAAAACCAAAATTACTTACCTAGAGGGATGTCATTGCTGGCTTGCTCTGCGTCATCCTGTAACATAATGTCACAGTGTCAAATAAGTATCACCTATTCCTAACTGGTCCAGGGCAACAAAAGAAATGATGTAAACCCACGACACAAATGTAACACATTACTATGTTCAAATCCCCAGCAAAATCATATCGAAATGACAGAAAAAGCTTCCCCAGACTCCAGAAGTACCACCTTACCAACGCTCCTTAGGAAAATGGAACTGCTGTCTCCAGCCGTCCCTGCCCTGGCCTTAGCTAGTGTCAGGCACTATCAAGGCCTGGCTCTGGGGGTGACGGGGGCGGGGGGGAGCCACAGTGCACATGCATCAGGGAGGCTCCAGAAGCAACAACAGCCTCTGCCAGCCTGGAGCAGCGAACCTGGCAGGCCACCCTGTTTCTTCCAAGGCCACAGGAGGCTTGCATGGAGGCAGCCTGCCTTGAACAATGAGTGACTGGTACATGTGCCCTGAGGGTTTGTGTCAAACTGAACTAGTCACCCCAGGACTTCTCACCTCCATCTCTCTCCCTAGTTGTTCCCCCAGCAGCAATGCCCTTTGGCCTTAAAACCTCATGTCCACAAGGCCCAGGCAAATACCGCCCCCCACCGAAGTTTTTCTGGCTCTCCAAGCTCAAAGTATCCTCATGTTTACCCCCTCTGGCTGCCTTCATCCCTTTTCTCTTAGAATCATTTGAGGGTGAACCCCTCACCCTACTCTACCTCTCCGCAGCACTGAAGACCACGGACCACGCCCTCCTTCCTGAAGCATGTTCTTCCCCTTCCTCTGAGCTATCCTCTCCCAGTTTCCTCTTCCCTCCCTGTGACTCCTTCTCACTCTCCTTTGCTAGCTCTTTGCAACTTTTAAACAATGACATGGCTCAGTAATCCTTTTTCTTCTCTCTTTCTACTCTTTCTTTCCCTAAAACACTTCATTTATTTATGTGGATGAAAATATCCTCTATGCTTTTGATTCCCAACTTTCTGGCTCAAACTCAAGCCTCTTTCCTCAACTCCACACCCATATTCCCAACTGCTGCTTGATGTCGCCTCTCAGATACCTGATGGATGCCTCAAACCTCAAGCTTCCTCCAAGAGGATTCCCTTATGAACAATCTGAAATGCTCCTGGCACTCTCTGTTGCAGCACCCTTCTATTCATTATACTACTTCTCAATACCCAATGTTCCCCTCTCCCCCCCGCCTTTTTTTTTTTAGAGATAGGGTCTCACTCTGTCGCCCAGGACAGAGTACAGTGGTATCATCATAGCTCACTGCAACCTCAAACTCCTGGACTCAAGTGATTCTCCTGCCTCAGGCTCCCAAAGAGCTGGGACTACAGGTGCAAGCTACTATACCCAGCTAACTTTTCTATTTTTTGTAGAGAAGGGGGTCTTCCTCTTGCTCAGGCTGGTCTGAAACTCCTGGGCTCAACTGATCCTCCTGCCTTGGCCTCCCAAAGTGCTAGGATTACAGGCATGAGCCACCGTGCCTGCCCTCCACCCCCATTTTTTTTTTTTACTGTCTGCTCCTTCCACTAGAATGTAAGAAGCAGAGATCCTGTCTGTTTTGTTTATCTTGGCTATATCTGCTAAGCTTGAAATAGTGCTTGACACGTAGGTTCACAATAAACTTTTTGTTGAATGAATGAACAGACAAAAGAACGTTATTGCCACTCTCTTGTCTCAGTTGATGGCAACTCAATTCTTCCATTGCTCAAGGCCCCAGACTTCAATTTCTCCCTATTCTCACTTCTCACATCTGATCCATTAGCAAATCCTGTAGACTTTACCACCAAAATGTCTAGGATCCAACCAATTCTCATGATTCCGATTGTCTCCACTCTGCTTATCATCTCTTGCCTGCACCGTCGCAATCTCCTAACTTGTCTCCCTGCTCTTGGCATCCTTCAGTCTGTTCTCTGCAGTGATCCTTGTAGAACTCCATTTGCTTTCCCCCTCCTGTCCTCTTTCCCTCATCTTTCCGTGACGCCATAATGGTGTGCATGGATATCCTGGCTGATGCTCTCGAAAGCATCAACAATGCTGCAAAAAGAGGCAAATGCCGGGTTCTTACTAGGCTGTACTCCAAAGTCATCATCGGGTTGCGAACTGTGATGATAAAGCATGGTTACACTGGTGAATCTGAAATCACTGATGGTCACAGAACTGGAAAAATTGTTGTGAACCTCACAGGCAGTTTAAACAAGTGTGGAGTGATCAGCCCAGATTTGATGTGCAACTCAAAGATCTAGAAAAATGGCAGAATAATCTGCTCCCATCCCATCAGTTTGGTTTCATTGTACTGACAACCTCAGCTGGCATCACAGACCATGAAGAAGCAATATGAAAACACACGGGAGGGAAAATCCTGGGAATCTTTTTCTAGGGATGTAATACATACTTACAAATAAAATGCCTCAATGGGAAAAAAAAAAAGTGTAATCCTTGTAAAACTACGTCTTCTGCCTCAAACCCTCGAATAGGTCTCCTTTGCATTAAGAGGAAAGGCTGAAGGCCAGTAAGCCCTAGAAAAGGCCTTTCCCCAGCCATCCCTCTCCTCTTTAGCTTCACCTGACTCCCCTGCTCAGCCACACCAGTCAAGCCGGCTACTGCCTTAAGGTTGTTGCATTGCGCTCCCCACGATTTTCACGGCTCGTTGTCTTGCTTCTTGTAGGTCTTGACTCAAATGTTACCACCTCACTGAAGCCTTCCCAGACCATTCTACTTAAAACTGCAACCCAGCTCCCTACCTCTGGCACTCCTTCTTCCTTCTGTGCTTTATTTTCTCTGAAGTACTATCTCAAACATTCTAATTACTTACTTTACTTACTGCCTGTCTCTTTCCACTAGAATATAAGCTCCACAAGTATTAGGCTTTTTATTTTTTTCAATACTCTATCCCCCCCGCCCCGCCTAGCATAGTGTGCACAGCATGCTCTCAATAGATGTTTGTTGAATCAGTGGGTGACTGAATGAATGCATGTTCTCTTCCAGTCCTATAGGTGGAAGCTTAATGGATCTGGGGCCTGATACAGTGCCTGCACACAGCGGGCTAAATACATGCATCTGGAGGTACCAAGGAGAAGCCTTGTTTTCTCATGCATCTTTGGGTTACTAGAGGCAACAGGCAGTGTAACGTCTCAAAAGGTAGCAAGCAACTTGGCAGCCTCTGGCCTTTATTGTCCACTTTGGAGGGCCAGAATGCCCGTATTTTCTACCTTTGGGACAAGAATCCTGAGGGTCAGGAGACAAACACGGAAAAACTGGTAGCCTTGCAAGAAGCATATCCATTGGGCATTCCCCGCTCCTGCATATCTCGAGCCACACCTGGCGCCCCAATGCCCTGCAGTCCCAGCCCCCGGTTGTTGGCACAGCCAACCCCCTCCCGCAGCGACCATCACGTTCCGAGAGCCGCGGCCCCTTTGGCGAAGCTCCACGCCCCACCAGTGTGTCCCCGGCTTCCTGACAGCACCCAGCAGCGGGAGGAACGCCTCTTCGTCCTGCCCTTCTCGGCTCACCGGGACCTTCCATGCGGTGTCCGAGCCCTGGGATTCGGGGTAGAGCTTGTCCAGGCTGTAGATGCTCTGGAACGCGGTGCCGTCTACCTGCTTGTGCAGAGCTCGGCGCGGGCAGCGCGCGGGCGGCGGGAGCAGCCAGACTCCTGCTCGGCTCATGCCCCCGCGCAGGCATCTGACAGCCGCCATCTTCAGGTCTCGGGACGCTTCCGGTTGGCGCCTCCTCCCCGCGGTCCGCAAGCTCGCGCTGCAGTCGGGACTTTGGTTCCGCGCGGCTTCCTGGGCCCGCCGAGGGTAGGCGGTGAGCTGGACTCCGGGCGATGCTCGCCGGTCGGCCGCCTCCGGGAAGCCTGGCTGGCTGGGGAAGACAGTGGCCGGACCGCGAGCTCCCGAAGGAGCCTCCTAGTGAGAAGAACCCCTGGATCTCGTCCCAGAAACATCACTTCTCTCCCTTTCAAGGGAGTCCGTTCCCTCCTCCTGGACCGCTCATCACCCAAACGCCGCTGAGGCCCGCCCGCCTGCCCCGCTCTCCTCATCCCTTTACCCTGCTCTGCATTACCTTGTTTTCTTCTTTTCTCTAATCACTCAATCTTAATTGTCTAATTTAATTGCCTGTCTTCTAGCCAGAATACAAGCTCCAGGAGGGCACTGGCTCACTGCTGTATTCCGAGCACCCAGAACATGGCACGTCGTGGACACTCTACAAATACGGATAAAATGAATTCTGTGGGAATGTGTTTTTGCAAGTTGAATTCTGGTAGAGCTGGTTTGGGGAACTTCAGGC